AGGTGTAACGGTGCATGCCTGTGATCCCGTAAATTGGGAGGTTGAGGCAGGTAGTCTTTGAGTTCGAGCCCAGCCTAGACAACTTCAGTGAAATCCTGTCTCAAAATTTAATAAAAAGAGCTGGAGATGTATGTAACTCATACAAAGATGCTGGGTTCCATGCCTAGAACCACAAAAGTAAATGAACAAAAGAAAATTAAAAAAATAAAAGATTAGCCTAAAATAGGTTTATGACAGGGCCCTTCCTACCTTGTCTAATTTATAACTTCCTACTGGAAGAAACTGGTATAACCCGTAAGATTTCAGGAAACCAGTTACGTAGTTATTTGTCCTTTCATTCTGGCTGACTGGCCAGCAATTCATTTTCTTTGGTGGTGTTCGGGATTGAACCCAGGGCCACAGGCCCAGTGCTTTACCCCTGAATTGCATCCCCAGTCCAGTGACTGTTTTTCTATTTAGCCTGACAATGATCATCTAGCTTCTGTCTCTGTCTCTATGTGTTTTTTTGGTACCGGGAATTGAACTTGCTTACCAGGCAGGCAGTGTGCCACTGAGCTATCTCCCCAGCTCCAAGCTTTTATATTTTCTTGTTTGTTTGGTTTTTTTTCTGGTACCAGGAATCAAACTCACGACCTCGCACTTCCCACGCAGGCGCTGTGCCGCTGAGCTATCTCCTCAGCCCCAAGCTTTTATATTTTCTTATAAAATATTTCTACCTAAAATCTAGTAGGGCAGTGCCTCTTACACGCAAGATTGCAATAAACTTTAACTCATAATGAAACTGTTGGAAAAGTCTTTTCATGCAGTTAAGAAAACACTGGGATGGGCAGATTATTTAATGCGCCTGACCTTGTACAAAGTCACACTGTGAGGCCGCTGGGAGATGTGGGAAGGAATTCGCAAGAGGATGAAAGCCTAAGGAGAAAGCAAGCCAACGAAGGGAAACACGAGGACACAAGCGGTGCACTGCTGTTGCGGGCGGTCGTTGAGCTTTGTACATGCATCACAAGTGAACCCCGAAAATCAATTTCAACAGAGAGCATAAAGCAGCAGGATGGGTGCACTCGGCATCAGGGAAGGGGAGTCAGGGTGGCTGAGGAGACGCTGTCTGAAGCCACCAGAAGGGAAGTCAGCAGGCAAAGACCAACATGAGTCAAAGAGGCCTATGTGTCCTTTACTCAGAATCAGAGAATTGCTGGGAAAAAATTAAAAACAAAACAAATGCCAAGTCAGGGGAAGTAAAGCCTTTATTTCACTTTGAGCTCTTAATAGCTCCTTTTTACTTCCCCGTTAACTTTTTTTTTCCTTTTTCTGACTTTTTGAGACAGGGTCTTGCTAGACAGTTCAGGCTGGCCTTGAGCTCACTTTGTACCCCAGGCTGGTCTCGAACTTGGTGCTATCCTCCTGCCTCAGCCTCCTGAGTGCTGGGATTAGAGGTGTGCGCCACCATGCCCGGCTCCGTTAACTTTCAAAAGGGTGAACAGTCTATCAGTGGAGGCGCCTGAGATGAGCCTTTGCCCACAGCTCTTCTCAGTATAACAAATGCCAGGCACAGTGGTGCATGTGTGTTATCTCAGCACTCTGGGAGGCTGAAGCAGGAGAACTACAAGTTCAAAGCCAGTCTAGATCCTGTTTTAAAATTTAAAAAGTGCTGGGGCTGTAGCT